GCAACCATGTCCTGAGGGACAGTTTAAAGGCAAAGAAGGTAGGGATTGGTGTAGATCGAATGGACGGTGTACGGATATGTTCTTAAAGATGTTCCCAAAGCTTTGACCTCACCCATGAAGCTGGTAGGGCAGAGGTGGCACATAGACACAGGCTGGGTTGGACTGACGCTCTGTCAGAGGTGCTGGTGGGCACCTAGTGGAGGCCATAGTAAGTTGTATAGGTGTGGGGTGGAGGGAATGCCTGTAGGAAATTCAAGAGCAGAAGCCAGCATGCAGAATTTACTCAGGAAGCAAGTATAGCATGGGGTACCCGAGGCCTGTGACCAGACCACCCCAGCCTGTCCCCGCAGGGACTTCCTCCAACCTGGGAACCCATAGAAGTCCCACCCCGGCATTCCTCGGTGTACACACTGCTTCTGCCAGCGAGGAAGCTGAGGTCCAGAAACCTGACATCCCTTTCCCAAGTCACATGACCTTCCTGGGGTCGGCCGTGAGCCCAGCCCCTCTGGTCCTCAGACTGTCTCACCCCTAGTGCAGAGCAGGCCATAGCCTTCAGGAACAGGCCTTCTTAAGGCAGGAGGCTGTCTGAGTTGACCTTGGACAAGGCTGGGTAAGCCACACTGGGGCAGTCTGCCTACCTCCCTGGGCCAGGCTCCAAGTGACTCAGGCCTTGAAGCCTCTCTCACTTCAATTGGCGGTTGGCAGCAGACTGCTTTGGGCCTGGCTCCCTGGGTCCTGGGGGAGGACAGGTATGGAGTTTCTGCTTCCAGGTCCTGAGGTTACCCACACCCATTCGCTCAGGGAGAGGTCTAACGGGCCTGGCGAGTTTGATTCACTTCCTCCACCACAAGCTCATCAGGACTTACCTTCCTGTTTTCATGCCCACACTAGCAGTGGGTTCACAGAGGCGTCCTGCTCTCTCCAAGGTCACCTAGCCAGGTCTGGGGCAGTGCCAGAAGACCTCCCCTGTGCTGTCTGGGTCATGTTTCCTTTGATGGAATGTCCTAAGCCCGGGCACACGTGGCTGCATTTCTCGGGCTCCTTGGCTCGTAGCCCTGCAAACCTTACTTGGCATTTTAGTTCTTTGGAGGTGGGATGCTAACTCTGGTTTTTCTTCCTACCCACTAGCTATGTGGTTTTGGGCAAGTTACTTGACTTCTCTGAACTCGTTCCTACCATTATAAAATGGTAGGAATTGGAGAGTTATAAAAGAGTAGGACTGGAAAATTGTAATAAAGATAAAAGGGGCTTTGACAAAGGTGACGTGTAAAAGTGCCCCTCACAAGTTCATGACCCGGGGTGGTCTGTGAGCCTCCATTCTCCCCTGAGTTTTAAACTGCTTTTCATTTGAGCAGGGTTTACTACAAAAGGCAGCCTGATCTGGTGATTCTTTCCCCAGGCTTCTAGCTCAGCCCTGGCCTCAGGCTGGCTTAAGTTTAACAAGGAGCTGAGAGGACAATCCTCTGAAAACCTAGACCCTATGTGGTGATAGTCCTAACAGCTGGGCTGCCAGTAGTCTCTGAGTCTTGACTGTCCATCAAATCCTGTTTCCCTTCCCTGGCTTCCTATTTCTGAACCACTTTCTCCAAACCCACAGAGCTGCTTTGGTGGAAAGATCTAGGCGTTTCTGTTGCTCATTCCATGTTCTTGAGCTACTCTTCAACTGGATTTGGAGGATACAGTTGGGGGGACAGTTTTGGCTGGTCACCTGAACTGGGGTGTCTCCTGCTCCCTAGGCTCCAGGAACTGGCCTGTGCTAGGAGAATCCGCATATCCTTCAGTAATCTGGAGGGATTCTTGGGTTGATAGCCAGGGACTGGGAGAGAACCCCCATAGCCTCCCTCCTCCAGTGGGCCCGTGTAGCCATGCACCCCTACTTCAGCCTCATGGAGCAGACTGCCACTTTATGGCACAGGCTGAGAGCCAGGTTGTCTCCTTTGCAACAGAGGGACAGACATTCCCACGGGAGAGCCTACAGTTGATTCCAGAAGGCCTTTCAGTGTGTCTCAACACTCAGAGACCCAGCACCCCAGGGACCCGTGCGAAGGAGTTCATAGGATGGATGTAAACTCATCTTTTTTCTTCTTTCTCTTTGTGGACCAGGTCCTAGCTTCTTTCTTCATGGAGTTGCCCTTGGCAGAGTGACAAGCCTGGCCTCTAATCTTTCAGCTGAATTACACTAGGGGCGGGGCGATGGTGGCTATACTCTCAAGGGCCTTAACCAGAGCCTCTGACCCTCTGTGTAAAGACATCGGAGTCTTGGCTTCTGGGGCCTGGAGGCCCAGAGGTTTAGAGGCCTCAGTGCAGGCCTCCAGAGTGGAGCACTCCTAATGGAACCACCGAGCAGCCTCAGACCTCCTATTGGAGGGGAGGGCAGGAAGGAAGGGGGGCTTGGGTGTTGCAGCAGGAAGCCACACATATGTGGCAATTGTCTTGGGCTCATCCTCATAACCAAAGCCCCAGACTGAAGACCTGAGGCCACCCTTCTTTCTCCTTGTGTCATGGCTTTGGCCTCCCTGGCTATGACTCGCTCTTCTGGGCAGCCAGGAAGTAAAGGAGTGGGTGGTAAACCATGGTTCTCTCAGTTGACCAGCTACTGCTCAAGCATGTAACATGTTGAGGTGGATCTGTGTGTTCTGATGTGGGAAGATGCCCACACTTGTGCAGTTAAGATAAAAGTAATGGTGTAGTGGAATTTATGGTTTAATCACATGGTAAATAAAGCAAGCTCACACATGGTAGCTTGTACGAGGATCCAATGCCTACACATGATGTGGGCACATGATCTCAATAAGTAAGTTCTCTCAGGGCAGAAAGGGACTTCAGTGTCCGCTAGCTATTCAGAACCTGTGTGCCTGTAATTTTCAACTTCTGAATTCATCTCCTAGCTGGGCATAGTGAGTTCAAGGTTATGATTCCAGCATTTGGATGATGACGGCAGGAGGCTCAGGAGTTTGAGACCATCCTTAACTACATAGTGAGTTCAAGGCTACAAAGTACATGACCCTGTCTTTAAAAACAAATGGAGCCGGGTGGTGGTGGCATGTTCCCAGCACTCGGGAGGCAGAGGCAGGCAGATCTCTATGAGTTCAAGGCCAGCCTGGTCTACAGAGTGAGTTCCAGGACAGCCAAAGCTAGAGAAACCCTGTCTCAAAAAAACCAACCAGCCAAACAAAAACAACCATAACAACAAAAACCAAAAGGACAAAAAGCTAGCAAGATGGCTCAGCAGGTGAAGGCACTTACAGACAAGATTGATGACTTGAGTTTGCACCCAGGGCCCACAGGATGGAAGGAGAAAGCTAACTAATCTCACAAGTTGGTCCTCGGACTTCCGCATGCGTGCTATAGCACATTGTGCACCCACCACCACAAAATAAATATAATTAAAAAAAAATTTTTTAGATTGTACCTAATCCACCTCTCTGGAAATAGGCAGACACCAGAATAGGGCTCCTTGAGAATGCTCATATCCTCTTGAGGAAAGAGAGGGTGCAAGATGTTTGGAACTCAGTGTGGTAGATACTTGAAGCCACGTCCAGAGCATGATATCTGACCTGAAGTAGTAACATTAATGGCACTGATGGCCTTCCCATCCCAAGTGGGGTGGCCCCCACTACCGCACCTTCCCTACTCCCCTCTGATCCTGTCTTTTTCTTCATAACAGTCAGTCTGAGTGTGTGTCCGCTCTCTGAGTGTGACAAGGATTTGCTCACGTGACAGTTTCTCCATCCGCGGTCAAGGCCCTGGCTCCCATCCTGGAGAACAGAGAAGGGGCTTGCATTTGGCTCCTCGAGCTCGAGAATACCTTTAGAGGAGCTGCATGCGGTAGCACTGTACTGAGGAGCAGGGGCAGAGGAATCGTGAGCTTGAGGTCAGCAGGGCTGCAGAGTGAGACCTTGCGACCTTCCTACAAGCTGTTGGACTCAATCTTGGGATAAAATGGAGACAGGCAGAGCCAGATTTGTGTGTAAGAGAGGGGGGTCAGTCAGAGAACAATTTGTGGGAGTCAATTGTCTCCTTCTAGCACAGAGGTCCCAGGGGTTGAACTCAGGTCACCAGGCTTGGTGGCAACCCCTTATCCACTGAGCTATCTCACTGGCTGCAGGCTTTGGTTTGGGGAGACAAGTTCTCTGGTTCAGGCTGGCCAAAAACTCCCAATCCTCTGGTCAGTGCCTCCCAAGTGCTGGGATTATTCCACATTCTCCACCAGGCCAGGTTTTATTCAGTGGCAGGGACTGAACTTTCAGAGGCTTTGTGCATGCCAGGCAAGCACTCCACCCGCGAGCTGATCCTCAGCCCCTTACCAAGGGATTTCAGACACTGTACTCCCGCCTTTGTCTACACTAACAGCGACATCACCTTGGTGACCATCTCAGTGCTCCGCTGTGAGGGCTGGGTGGTGTTCTGTTGTAGATTTCAGTTCCTAAGCATGCTTGACTTTTAGGCCTGTCTACATATCCTCGTGCTAACCTTGGGTACCCACTAGGTTGACTGCATCAGGGAACTCGGTTTGAGATGGAATATGAATAAAACCTAAACACATAGGTTTCCTTGAGACAGTTTTGGGAAGCTGCGTATGATGATATATGTGTCTGTAATCCCATCCCTCAGGAGTCTGAGGCAGGATAGTAAAAGGAGAGACAGGGGGATTAAGAGTTCAAGACCAGCCTCAGCCACAAGTCAAATTTGAAGTCAATATGGGCTAGATGAGACCCTAACTCAAAATAACAAAAATAAAAACAAAACAAAGAAATGAATAGGAAAGAATACATATGTTTTTTCATAGGCTTATTTATTTATCTATTAACGTGCTTAGTAAGCACAAAGACCTGGGCTCTTCCCCAGCACCCAAACTAGGCTAGATATGACAGCTAGAGAGAGAACAGAGAGAAGCAGGTCTCCCTAGGCTGGGTAGGTAGCACCTCGTTTCCTAACAGCCCACCACCAAAGACTTCAAGTATGTTTGCTTCTACTTCTGACTCTGTCCCTTTTTTCAGGTGACGCCATCAGCGCAGTTGCAGCCCCCTGTGGCAGGATGACTTGAGGATGTGGATGATCTGCGGTACAGCCACAGCCTGGCCAAGGTCCGCATGCCGCCACCACTCCGGCCCCTGTCCCCCAGCCTGGACCGTGCCTTCCCTACAGGCGTCCTTGTGGACGCAGGAAGCACAGGAGTAAGTCTTCTGAGCCTGTGGAGCAAGGAAGTGGCTGGCAGAGGGACCCCCGGCCTACGGCTTCTTAGCTTGTCAGAAACAATCTCCCACAGCGGCCCCACAAGATGACCAGCCTGTTCCGCAGGAGTAGCAGCGGCAGTGGCGGCGGCGGTGGTGGCGGGGCCACCGGGGCTCGAGGGACCGGGACGGGGGCCGGGGCCGGAGCTGGGGCCGGGGCCGGAGATGGCAGCGCAGCCCCCCAAGAGCTCAACAACAGCCGGCCGGCCCGCCAGGTGCGCCGCCTCGAGTTCAACCAGGCCATGGACGACTTCAAGACGATGTTCCCCAACATGGACTACGACATCATTGAGTGCGTGCTGCGTGCCAACAGCGGCGCCGTGGACGCCACCATCGACCAGCTGTTGCAGATGAACCTGGAGGCGGGTGGTGGCACCTATGAGGACAGCTCGGACTCGGAGGACAGCATCCCACCAGAGGTAGAGGCACGGTTAGACAATTCACCACCAATAGTGGTTCAGTCTCTCTTAGCGGCTCTGGGTTAACCCCTTCCCCGGAGGGGGTGGGTGGGTAGGGCAGCTGGCTTCTAACCAGCAATTATCTCTCTTGAGACTTTTAATCAGGCAATGACCTATAATATGGGTAGCAACCATGCAGTAGTTTAACAAACATCCAGCAAGCAAGTACCCACTCATTGGTATATTAAGGGATAGGACAAGACCCCGAACTAAGAAAGGTGCTTGTTTAAAATGTAGGTAAAGATCCCTGTGAGTTCAAGGCCAACCTGGTCTACAAGAGCTAGTTCCAGGACAGGCCCCGAAGATACAGAGAAACACTGTCAAAAAACAAAAAATAAAGGTGGGTGGTGGTGGCACATGCCTTTAATCCCAGAGGCAGAGGCACGCAGATCTCTGAGTTTGAGGCCAGCCTGGTCTACAGAGTAAGTTCTGGGACAGTCAAAGCTACACAGAGAAATTCTGTCTCATAAAACAAACAAAAAGAAAAAAAGAACAAGAAAAATGTAGGTATATAGGCCCCACTCCAACACTTGACCCCTCAGTTCCAAGCCTGAAGTCTCTGGTGTAAATTTTTCAAGAAAGGCTCTTGAATGGCAGAGTATCACCTTAGCCAGACAAATCAGACAATGTTTTTGGAGCTCCCAGGCTAGTGTGGATTGGAGACAGGAGTTGGACCAGAATGAGAGAAACAGGAGCAGAGGAGAGACTCACACCAAGAGCAGGGAAAAGGTGACCTGGCTCCAGGACCAGAGAGAGGGTGAGTGATCAGTAAGGCCGGCCACACCCTCCACTCAGAAGAGTGAGGGAGCATCACTACAGACAGGGAGCTGGGGGTGCTTGCAGAGTGAGGCGGGCCTTCGTCAGCTCGTCCTCAGATCCTCATAAGGAGGGAGCAGTTCCCAGGGTGGAGGGCACATCCAACCACAGTGAATCAAGGCCCACCCCACCCTTGGGGATAGCCGGTTTTCTATGGCCTCATTCAGGAGTTCAGTGTCCAGCTAACCCCTAGCCTAAAAGGACATGAAGTTCTCAGGGCAAAGGGTGAGGCATGCAGTTCAGTACAAGAGCCATGGATGAGACAAACACCAGAAGATGGGAACACGCTCCACTCTGTTCTTTCCCATCCTGAGGGTTGAACCCAGGACCTCATACATGCCGTGCAAGCCCTCTGTCTCCCAGCCACTCCCCAGCCTTCTTTTTATATAAGCTGTCTCTGAGCAATCCAGGTGAGTCTTGTGCTTGCTCTAGAGCCCAGGCAGACCTTGAACTCTCCATCCTCCTGCCTCCAAGTCTCCAGTAGCTGGAATGGCAAGCGTGCTCCACCAGGCCCAGCTGAATCCCACTGTTCCCACAGTCCATACTGTGCCGGGTATCTCAGCTGCTTCAGAAATACATCTTTTCTGTTTCTCAAACTTGATAAGAACTGTCACCTTTGTTTACATAAGAACTCTGGGGTATCAATGATTTGTGTCAGTGTGGTATGCTCTCCCCAGGCGGATAGCAGGTACAAGGGGAAGTTTTGCAATGGGATGTTGTGTGTGTGTACATGAGTGGGTGTGCATACATGAGTGTGTGTGTGTGTATGTGTATACATGAGTATGTGCGTGTATGCCCACTTGCGTAAGCCAGAGATCGATTTGGATGTTAATCCTCAGAAGCCAGCTCCCTTGTTTTTGGGGGGCAGAGTCTCTCTCTAATTAGGCAAGACTGGCCAACTGGGAAGCTGCAGGGAGAATTACTGTTTTACTCCTCATCCCCTGCACTGGCTTTACTAGTGTGAGCCCTAGTCTAGCTTCTAACACACGTGCTGTATATTGAACCCAAGTCCCCAAGCTTGTGTGGCAAGCCCTTTACTGACCGAGCCACCTCCCCAGCCCTATTGGTACTGTCTTTGCACAGCTTTCTGTCATCTTTTCCTCTGCCCTGCACCCCTTTGACCTGTCTGGATTAGTCAACGGGGAGAGCACTGGAAAATCCAGACCCTTCTCGTTGAAAGGAAGTGTGCATGTGTGCACGTGTAGGTGCATTCTTTCAGTGTGAGCTGGAAGTTCCCTGCATGCTTTGACTCTCTATGGTCCTGTTGGTGCTGGAGGTCTGGCAGGCGGGGCGTTTCCTGCCTTGCCCACAGTGCCCGTGGCATCGCAAGCCTCTGCAAGGCTTCTTCAGTCCCAGGCATCCGTCCCGTGCTGCACTTCTGTTCCCAAGCAGTCTGTTGTCCCAGTCGAACCCCTTCTCCTGGGCTCTCTCCCAGCCCCCACCTTTGGAGCCCTGCCTGGGCCCATCAGCAGGCAGCTCCTGAGCCAGCGTAAAGTGCTGCAGAAAATTTATGAGCCGCAGTCAGAATGACAATAACTGCTGACTGGAAAAAGCCCCCCTCTCTAGAGGCTGATGGATGGTGGGCTGGCCCAGGGGGTATCCTTGTCACAGAGAAACAGCTCCTGTCAGATAAATGGCCCAGACCCTGCCTCCCTATTAGCCTCCGGAACACCTGGCAGGCATCCATCACCCACAGTGCGTTAGGCCAGGAGGCCACAGAACCTCCAACACCTCTAGAGCCAGAACAAGCTCCTTGTAGTTGGGAAGATGGAGCGGGGGGGGGGGGGGCAGGAGGATGCTGGGGTTCCCTCTCTGGGACTACAGATCTTCTTCTCTGGAGCTGACCTTCCCTCCACCTGCCTTCTCCCCACTGTTGACGCAATCCTCTCTTGAGGCTAGGTTTGCTGCTCCAGGAAGCTGCACTCTTGCACACAGGGGCTGCCCACATCCCTGCCATCCTTGAGTCTGGGCACATGGCACAGTTCAGAGGAAACCCACAGAACTCTCCTCTCCCTCCCACCAGACCAAGTTTAGCCTGGACCCTGTCCCTCAGAGCCAAGAACTGTGGGAAATGGGGGCGTGTGGCTGAGGGAGGCAGCGAGTCCTCTGGGCACCCTAGGATCTTGGCTGGCACCTTCTGTACTAGGCAACAGGGAGTCAATCACCAGGGACCAGGACCCATTCTTCGCACCATTCCCCTTCCCTGGCGTCTCTCTCCTTCCTGGTGGAATGTGGGGTGAGCAGCATGGTGGCCTGGCCAGCCAGGCGGCCTCATTCTTCTTTTTTTTTCTGCAGAAGCATCTGTTTAAATACTTTCCGCCTCACAGGAAAGAGCCCGCATTCCAGGGCGGGTGCCTCCTAGGGTCAGGCTGGCGTGCAGAGCGCTGAGTGAGTGTGCACATTCACTACCAGGACATGTGCACACTCGCTACCAGGGCATCCCTGCCAGCCTCCCTGTGCTGGGCACGACTGGCCTAGGGCTCAGATGTGTCTGTGGAACCTGGATGGACAGAAGCAGAGAGAGACACAGTTTCTACAAACTCAGAGTTCAGATGGGGCTGGAGGAGTCAGGGGCTGAGTCAGTTAGGGCCTCCTAAGCCCCTTTCAGATTCTTTGGTCTCTGAGAAAGTGGGAACAGAGCTGTGAGGGCAGGGTGGGGCACAGTGTGTGGCCAGGAGACAGAGCTCTGCCCAGATGCCTCTTGGGGCAGATTCATATCTACCGGATATTAGGAACTCAGCCATGCCTACCCTGGACCTTTTTCTGCCCTGCTTCCTGTCTCCTGGGTAAAGAGAAGGGTCTAGAGGGGCAGTGGGAAAACTAGGCTGGGTGTGCAGACTGCCTGAGGGAAGGTCGCGACTGTGGAGACCCCTTACTTGTTGTAGATTCCTATCTAAAGCCGGCAAGTGATTTTGCCATTTTACTTAACCAGACTTAGCCGCACAGGGTCTGTAATCTGAGCCCCTCAGCAGGCTGGGGCAGGAGGGTCAGAAGTGTTGAGGGCTGCTGTCCTCTCTGTGGTGACGTGGTGCCGTTACCATCTTAGAGCAGCTCACAGCAGCAAGCTTGGGCCTGTCCCCTCACAAAAGGCAGGGAGGGTCATTAGCAAACCGGCACCTGAGCTCTTAGCCAAGTCCTCCTGCACCAGCTGTCTGCTTTTCTGCTCCAGTTGCAGCTGGTTAGAGACGCTGAAGTCCATAAGAGGTTTGCTGAATCAGGGACTCTATGAAGGTGATACAGCTGTTGAGGGAGGTGTCACTCCCTCTTAGGAACTCCTAGACTTGGGCGGGATCACTTCTTTGGCCTGTCATTGGCTTCCTCTCTTGTTCACACCTCCCCAGGAGAAGTAAGGAAACAGGTTCGAGGCCAGCCAGGGCAACTTAGTGAACCCCTGTTTCAAAATCCAAGGTGAAAGCCAGGTAGTGGTGGCTTAATCCCAGCACTTGGGAGGCAGAGGCAGGGAGATCTCTGTAAGTACAAGGGCAGCCTGGTCTACAGAGGTCCAGGACAGACTCCAAAACTACAGAGAAACCCTGTCTCAAAAAAAAAACCGCAAAAAACAACTCCCCCCAAAAAAAACAAGAAAGAAAGGAAGGAAGGAAGGAAGGAAGGAAGGAAGGAAGGAAGGAAGGAAGGAAAAAGAAAGAAAGAAAGAAAGAAAGAAAGAAAGAAAGAAATTCAAGAGAAATTCAAGGTAAAAAGAGTTGGGCTGTGGCTCAGTGGTGGAGAAATTGCCTCATGTGTATGAGGCTCCGGGTTCAATCTCAGGCAACCACAAAACAAATAAGACTAAGACACACTCGGGCCTGAATTTCCTCCTCTGTAAAATGGGATTTCACTTGCTAGACTGGTAGGGTTCAGATGACAGATGCGGAAGTACACAGGAGGAGATATGAATGATGTCATCATCAGATAATAGCACAGCTGTCCAGAGGACACTGGTCTCAAGGGTGCAGCCTGGGGAGGTTCACAACACACGCGCTGGGCACCAAGCGCGATAACCCTCTCCCACAGGCCCGTCTTCCCCAGCTCCCCACCCTCACTGTCTCTTTCTCTTCCACCCTGTGTTTGTTTTGCTGCTCTTGAGCACTGCCTGGGTAGGTGCCGCTGCCATGAACCATCCTTTGAGGCTGCGTGTTGTCTTCTTTCCCGAATATAACTGACTGGCCGTGGGGGCCACACGTTAGGGTTAGTCCACGAGGCTGGGATTGCGAAGAAACAACTTCCGGCATCAATGCACAAACCTCGCCCGTACCTGGTCTCATCTGAATGTCACTGAGCTTCAAGGATGGGTTATTAATATCATCGTCAATAATTATTACTATGGATCTCTCTGTTGTCTCTGGTTCAGATCTTGGAAAGGACTCTGGAGCCGGATAGCTCTGAGGAAGAGCCCCCGCCTGTGTACTCACCACCGGCTTACCACATGCATGTGTTTGACAGACCTTACCCGATGGCTCCTCCAACTCCACCTCCCCGGTGAGAATCCATTTGACCTCAGAGCACAGCACACAGAGATGGAGGCAGGGGTTGGGGTTGTATTAAACACCGTGGGAAAGTGGCTTCCCCCACAGCAGACTTCTACCATGGCAAGGTACAATTTATCCAGACACCAAGGAGAACTTTCAAAACTTCAGCAATGAGGGGCTCGAGAAATAGCTCTAAGCACAGAGGTCTGGGGTTGAATTCCTAGCCCTCTACACATAAAAGCAGGGCACAGCAGCACACATCTGGAACACCAAAGCTAGAGCAGCAGGGATAGGCAGATCCCTGGATTTTGGTGGCCAGCTGGTTTAACCAATCACTAGGTTCCAGGTTCGGTGAGGAAGCCCTCCTAAAAGTCAAGTGGAAGGCTAGGGAGATGTCTGTCTGTCTGTCTGTCTGTCTGTCTGTCTGTCTGTCAAGTACCTGCAGAGTAAACACAGGAACCCGAGTTTGGATCCCATGTAAAAAGTTGGCGTAGCAGCCTATGCCTAGCGGACACAGTTAATTATCTATGGTTCAGCTTCCAGCTTCTTGGAATGTGTAATCAAGGGAGAGGCAGGATAGGGAGATGAGCTCATGAAATATCGTACAGTCCCTTCCCTTCCCCGGCCCATGGACACATTAGAAATTAATCATTGTGCTGTCTCTTGCTGAGGCAAGATGAACCCCAGAATCCCTCCCAGCCCAGCACCCCCCAGAAGCCATCAGTCACCCCTGGGCTGGTGATGCTGAGAGGTTTTTAAGTGATGTGAAAATGCATCTTTTTCTGGTTTCCTGACTGGAGACAGGAGAGTGGACTGCAAGGTCCCCAGAGACTTGTCTCAGCTTCGAGACGCTTGTGATTTGGAAGCTTACAATGAAGCTAGCTGCCAGCAGTGTCCACTGTATGTGAGGTGCTTGCTTTTCTGGGCCCTGGGTTTGGTGGCTGCTAGAGCCTAGGTGTGGTCACTTTGTCCCAGAAGCTGCTGTTTCTTAGAAAGAGAGACTGGGCGGGAGGGGATGATATAATAGGGACTTTGCTGTAGTGATCCCCTGGATTTTAGGAATTTTAGGAACCCCAGAACAGTGGTAGTGGGGAATTTAGAAACCAGTATAACAGTTGCCATTTGCCATACCCTTCAAAGGCCAGAGGCTGCCGTGGCTCTGTACCGTACCCGGCGACTTATGTGGTGAACACTGCCGTCACTTGTTTCATAGATGAAGATGCTGATCCAAGGCTCAGAGCTGGGGTGTGACCTCAAGGCTCTTCATACTATGCCATCAGCTCCGTGCTGAGGAATCAGGCTATAGCTTGGGGAGCTGAGAGGCTAGAAGGTTAGCTGGGCAGGACAGAGGTCATCCATCTGGTGAGGGACAGGACACAGAGGGGACCTATCACCTTGGTACAGGGGATGCAGGCTGGGAGGTGGGAGTTAGGTGCCTGGGTGAGACTGACCTGGAGGCCACACCTGTAGCAGCGGACTGAGCTCAGGAGTCAGTGACTTTCCTGTGGCTTCTGTTTTGTTGCTATTTCCAGTGTTTCCTTTGTGTTGCTGTGACAAAACGCTTGAAGGAGAGGAGCTGAGAGAGGAAAGATTTACTTCCGCTCGTGGTTTGAGAGGGGTTTTATCCCAGGATGGCAGGGAGGGTGCGGTAGAGCAGTCCTGTCGGCAAAAGGGCAGGGGCGTGGGTCAGGAAGCAGAGAGGACTGGCCCAGAGCCAGAGGCAGGTGGAACCTTCCAAGCCTGCCCCGAGTGACCTTCTTCCACCATCCAGATCCCACCTGGAGAGTCCACAACTTCCCAAAGCTGTGCCACAAGCTGGAGACCAGGTGTTCAAACATACAAGCCTGTGGGGACATGGCAGACCCAAGCTATAGCATTGAGTCCCAAGGACCTAGATCCCTTCAACCACATTTATTTATTTATTCATGCATGTGTGTGTGTCTGTCTGTCTGTCTGTCTCTGTGTGTGGTGTGTTGCTTGTCCTCTGGGCCCCTCCCCTGTAGATCAGAATTTAGGGGAACCACATGGGAGCCCAGAAATCTGCTATCTAAGACATGGCCTTAAATACACACACAACAAACAAACAAACAAACGCTTCTGGAAAAGCCTATTTATGAAATCCTTCCCAGCCAGGTCCAACATGCTGTGGTAAGTGTGGACCCTCCCACACCCAACCTATGCTTGAAGTTCTAGTTTTGGGGCTCCAGAGGCTCGGTCTCTGAAGATCTTCTTGGCCTCTGTCTCCTTCCCCCTTCCCTACTGAGTCCTTGGCTTCATCTGCCCGAGTCTCCGAGTCCAGGAGAGACCCCTCCACACAGGCCGCCTGCTGCTTTTGTGTTGAAATTACAGCCTCGGAAGTTTTGCCTCAAAGTTCATTTCTGACATTCCTTTCCAACCACAATAGAGTGGCTGGGCTGCCGAGGCGGGCCATCCGCCTGCTGCTGAAGGTGACTTCATCCCAGTGCTTGGGGAAGGATGAGTGGGGTTCTTTCTCCAGGACCCTTGCCCAGAAGCCAGGGAAACCCCAGGAGAGGAGGTCTCCCTGTGTCAGCCCCTATCCCTGAAACATCCCAGAAACAATGGCTAGAGGGTCTTGGTCAGGCTTTGAACTCCCTCTGCAGCCATCTTGGGTAGCTTCTAGGTGTGACTGAGTTGGGGTGTCCACTTCACCCCTAAGGAAGCCTGGATAAGCCTTCTCCCATTGTGGCTGGAAGTGGTGTCTGTGAGAATGACAGATGGGCCCTGGAAGGAAAACAGAACTTGGGACAGGGCCTTAAGTGGCAGAGCATTGCAGAGGAAACCTGGCCTAGGAATGAGCGTCCTGGGTTCCCCTGCGGGCGCCTCTCTGGGGATCCCTGTATGTCTTCAGGCAGCGAGCTGAGCTCCCCCTAGCACTTAGCAGCTGGTTATCCGTCTGCTCCTTCCCCCGCCCTCCCCTCATACCCACCGGGCCACCAGCCCAAAATAGAAAAGGAAAGGAAGTTATTTCCACAAGTTAGCAGCAGACGGAAAGGCTCCCCTCCAGTGAGGGGGCGGAGGGATTCCTGAAGCTGGAGGCCAAATCAAAGCCAGGCTGAGCCCAGCATGGCCCCCACCACCCCCAGCCGCCTGCCTTCTCCGTGTGTCATTTCCCTGATTCAGCAGGACACGTGTCCTGCGGTTGCCACGCAGCAGGCTGCTGAAGAGCTGTGGAACTCCTGGCCCAGCTCCAGGCTTCCTTCAGTCCTGGGCTTAGAGATGGAGCCCGGGGGGTCAGAGAAGCCAAGCCCTGTTCCTCTCCTGACACAGGCACACCTTGCATGAGAAAAGGTCCCATAGACCCCTTGGAAACAAGAGTGTAACCCTGGCCTCCCAGCAGTCCACGCTGCAGCTCATGGGGGGTAGGGGAGCACCCAGTACCTTGGAAGGGGGTCAGCAAGGTCTAGATTTGGTAATGAAGCACCAGGGGCCTGAATTGGGGTTTTCCCAATGTCCCCCACCCTTTGCTGACTGTAGTTGAGCCAGAATGGGAACTCAGATCTGCTCTATTGTCCAGGAATCTTGGGAGCTCCCTTCCCCAACAAACCAAAGACAGGATGGGCTGTTGGCAAGCTATTCGTCTGCCGTTGGGTGGGGTGGGAGGAATATCTGCTACTTAATAGTCCAGCACTGTGCCAGCTGTTAGGGACACAGGCAGAGAAACATATGGCCCCCACCCCAGTCTGTCGGTATATTCATAAAGGCGTATCTAAATCCACAACACTGATATTTGCACCAGAGGCACCGAGTGACAGAGAAGCAGCCCAAGGCCAGGGCTGAGGAGATAAGGAAAGCAGAACAGGAGACAAAGAGGTCCCCACTGCTCCCGGCCTGGCCGCCTTCCTTCTTGGTATGCCATTTCCCTCACCCAGCAGAATACACGCCTATACCTTTGTCCTGAACGCAGCGTGGGCGCGGGACGCTCTGAGTAAGACCTCTGAGTACCTGAGAACCCCTGACAGGCCCACAGAGCTGTGGCTCAAGGCCTGACTGCTCCTTGCTCTCCTCACCTTTCAACCCCCCCCCCCCCCCCAGGATTGATGTCTTAGGCTCTGGACAACCTGCAAGCCAGAGTCGCTACAGGAACTGGAACCCACCCCTGCTGGGCAACCTTCCTGATGACTTTCTCCGAATCCTGCCCCAACAGATGGACAGCATTCAGGTAACCGGCCGCCCTCATCTGCGCTGCGCACTCAATGCCAGCCGGATTTGCTGCCTGGTTTCCAAGCCCTGGCTGAGCCGCTTTTGTTGAATAGAGTTTCTGAGGAAAGAGAAATGAACCCATGGCCTCGCTTCTCATCAGGCCCGATGGTTAGGGTCAGGGTTAGGTGGCCCAGGGAAGGTGGCAGCCTGAGGAAGCTTCAGGCTGGAGGGAGAAAAATGGGGTAGCCAATGGTGGGGTCCAGGACTGCTCCGGGAAGGTGCCCCTGCTGGAGCTGATGCAGGGATGCAGCTGATGAAGGGAGCAGTGTGGAACTGGGAGTCCGCAGACAGTGGTTGAACTCTTCGCATATCACTTCTCAAGATGATTTGGGTTCCAGAAGAGGGAACGAGGTGGCCCTGGATTTGGGAGGGGTCCTTTTGATGTCCTCCCTGCTTTTTTTTTTTTTTTAGTCCTGCGGAGACAGTTCTGAGTTGTTCCAGTGAGTTTGCACTAATAGCTGGATCCTGTTGGGAGGAGGGGACTACAGGATGGGGCTGGAGGATTCTGGGAAAGCACCCGTGTCTACAGGTGTGCATGGATTTAAGTAGGTGATCTGTATGCTCGCTCTTCCTCAGGGTCACCCTGGGGGTTCCAAGCCTATGGGTGGAGAGGGAGGCCTACCTCCAGTGCCAGGACCCGGTGTCTGCGACCAGGACAGCCGCTGGAAGCAGTACCTGGAGGACGAGAGGATTGCCCTCTTCCTGCAGAATGAGGAGTTCATGAAGGAACTGCAGCGTAACCGTGACTTTCTCCTCGCACTGGAGAGAGGTGGGCACCAAGCCTCACCACCAAAGAAGAGAGTGATATGGGCAGTGGCCTCAGGCCTCAGGAGGGGGTTGCCAGGTGCTTTCTGACCTGCATAAGTGTAGCCCTTTCTGGGCCATACGGGAGCCCCAGGGTTCAGCCTGGGGACACCTGGGAACTCAGAGGAAGAGGGGTGTGCCCACCGGGGCCTTTTCCTCTGCCCTGCATTAGCCTTGGCTTGGATGCCAGGAAGGAATGCTGCCTTGCATTCCCACCAACCTCTAGCCACAGGCGGAGGTACCATGCCTTGAGCCCTGCGAACAGGGTGACTGGCTCCGTGGGTGCCAGGATGGGAGGCTTCCTGAATGGAAGAGGTGAGAGCAGAGTGCTTGCATGATCTATGGGTGGGTTACCCTGGTCCCCAACCCAGCTGCCTTCTATTCTGAGGTAGGGTTTGGAGACAGGGCTGCAGAAGCAATCCTGTAAAGGTCACAGAAGGAGGGGGCGGAGGGAAGGGGGAGTCTGAAATGTTTGGGGAGGATGGAGCAAATTGTCCCGCCAGGGTGTTGGGCTGGAGAGAGCAGACACACAGGTGGCACAAACGAGACTTGGCTGGGCACACAGCTGCACACCTGCAACCCCAGCATTAAGGAGGCTGAGGCAGGAGAACCGGGAGTTCCAAGGGAGCCTGGGCTCCATCTCGAAACCCTAAAGCAATAGAATAAAATAGGTTTGGACTCTCGGGAAGCTGCTAGTTCTGACATCCCAACATCGCAGATGCTTGTTAGGCCGTTGTTTCTATTCTCACAAGTTCTTCAGGAGCTGATAGACACTGTGCTTACATACTGTGTGTGTGTGTGTGTGTGTGTGTGTGTGTGTGTGTGTGTGTGTGTGTGATTTATATGTGCTTCGGGGGCTCAGCCTCCAGCAGCCTCCAGTGTGCCCCTGGGTGCCCTGGAGCTCACTTCCCTGATAGAAACCATATCCTTTTGCAGATCGATTGAAGCATGAATCCCGGACATCCAGATCCAGCAATGTGGCTGTTGGAAATGACTTCGCCCTTCCCTCCTCTGTCCCAGGTAAGCTTGCTTTCCTGAGAGAGAACCTGGTGGGCTCAGTGGGCCCACATCCCAACACTACCTTCAGTTTTGAGAGTTTAGGGGTAGGATGAAGACCAAGGGTGGGATCTGGGGCCCCTCCACAGACCAGATGGGAGGACTCCTGTGAGTTGAGCTATCCCCTTCAGTAAGTGTCCCTAGGTCCTTCTGTCCTGGGAGCTGTCGGTCACCACAGGCTGGCCGACCTTCCAACTATTTCCGGATCTTGAGCTACCAGAGGACACACTGAATCATGTAATGTCCCTTAATAGCAACTGAGAATAGGGAGGCCTCGGAGTCTGATGAGGTTTGGCCCAATGAGGCTTACTGCCTAACAGCAAACCGGCAAAGGCAAGACACCTGTGTTGACCGTATCTAGTGTGTGGAGAGGAAAGAGTGTGACATTAGTCTGGGAAGGGCTCATTCATTCACTTAAGTGACCGAGGACTGCCTGCTCAGACCCCTGCCGTGCCATAGGTGAGGAAAAAAAATTCTGAGCAATGAATTCTAGGTGGTTCAGCAAGAACTGCCTTAGGAAGGCCAGAGAAGCCCCGTTTACAGTCCCTAATATAACTGCCCCTCACCCCCACCCCGAACTCATGTCAGACCACCTCATGGCTTCCTCCAGGGCGAATGTCAGTACGGCTTGATGCACAGACTATAGCTGAGCTGAGCTTTGGAGTGGGAGCAGAGGCCCTGCTTTCGTACTTGGCCCCTGGACTCTGGATCCCTGACTGGTTACTGCCCTCTCCCCATGTACATATACAAAAAGGCTCAGCCGTTTTTCTGGGAGCAGAACCTCCGTCCTAGAGCTGAGCCGGGAAGGCAGGAGCAGAAGGGTAAAAGCGCCCTGCTAATCCCAGCTCAGAGAAAGACAATCCCATAGAACTGGTTCATAAGCAAGAGGCCAGGAGCTTAGGCCCCACCAGATGTTCGTCTGGGAGTTTTACAGAGCTTCTCGTCCTTGATCCCAAATTAATGAAGGACACTGGGGCTGCTGAGCCACATCAGGGTGACTCAAAGGGGACCTAGCAGCCAAGGTGACTCAGATGAGCCAAGTTACAGGGTGGTGGGCAGCAGATGAACGGCAGAGAGACTCACACAGTGAGGAGAGAGTTAGACGCTCCCTCCAGGAGCTTCACTGGGTTCTGACTCTTGGCTGAGCCCTGCTCTGTTCCTGTTCAACATCTGGGAGGGAATAATGGAGGAGCTGAACCTAGAAGGAGGCTGAGATCTCCCCGGAATTCTTGGCTCTGTGTCCTTTCTACCTCCCTTCCACCGGAGTTAGGATGCACAGAGGGCCAGCAAAGCACAGATGGGCTGGCAAGTGTTTAACACTGTGTTCTTCTGCCCTGCTCTGGGTGCAGAAGCCTGGTGTGCAATCCCTAGAGATTTCCGTGATGTGTATCTTCCCCACCCAGCTCCTTTCAAACTACCACCATGACTTTGAGAGTATGGGATTGCTCACAGAAGTCGAAACCTTCTGCCAGCCGCCTTCCCACACTCGCAGCAGTTAAGACTGCCCCCATTGGCTCAGAAGAGGAAAATGCATCTTGCAAGAAGGAAGTACTCTTGCAGCTCGCTTTAAACTCCAGGGGCTAGGGAAGAAGCCTGCCCTGTAGTGAAAGGACAGACCTAAACAACCATGGAGGGGCACCAACTCATCTGCTTTCCCGGGGCCATGGCAGCTGCTCGTTCTCTCTCTCTCTTAGTGGGACCTCAGAGACCCAATGGGCCTGGTCCCTCAGCAGGTGTCTCCTCCTTCCAGGAACCAGTGACACCAACCCCACTGTGTCAGAAGATGCCTTATTCAGGGACAAGTTGAAACACATGGGAAAATGTGAGTCCTGCTCCAGTCCCCTCCCTGTCCCCGCTCTCGTGAGGCAGGCCCTGTGGCCTCATGAGAGGCAAGGGGCCCCCACCCCTGAGGATTTTTAAAGCTATTGACTTTTGGTGAACTTGGGTGACATTTTAATCACAGGCTAACTCCCTCAGGCTTCCTGCCTTACTTTATTCTGCAGCTGAGTCTGGGGACAAATTAAGTTTAAATCCTCTTGAGCCAGCTGTCTGCTGCAAAATAATGTGTGTCAGTGTTCACGTTCTCTGTGGTGTGAGGGCTTGGCTGAGACAGGAGCCTGACCAAGTCTGCTTTCCGTGGGAATGGGAGACATTTGGGGGTACAGGGGGCCTCTTCCCACCGTCTGCTTCTCGTCATGATCCCTTTTCCGATCTCACAGACCCATAACCAGTGGGAATGAGGCTGGGATACTTTCAAGGTTTTATTTCAGGGAAAAATTTCCGATGAGTCATGGAAATCCTAGGACCAACTGTGGAGGTGGCTGGGGAGGGGCGGGAAGGCCTTGGCAGCCCGCTGGAAAGAAAGCCAAGATCTGTGGCTCTCGCCTCTCCGGAAGGAATACCCGGATCTTGGACTGGAAGCAGGCTGTGTACTTGGCTAGTGGTGGCCTGTGCTGCCCCTGGAGGCCGACCTGGGATGGCACACTTGCTCCTTAGGTGGCACGGTGTCTGCAGTTCCTGTCACTTTCCTCTTCCCAGTCCCCACCCAAGGGGCCTGGTGCTGCCCTGGCTGCCCCCAAACCTGGCGGGAAGCCATCTGACGCTCTGGCTGTCTGGAGCATGAAGGGCTCACAAGTCTCTCTGCCCCAGCCACGCGTAGGAAGCTGTTTGAACTCGCGCGAGCTTTCTCTGAGAAGACCAAAATGAGGAAGTCAAAGAGGAGACACTTGCCGAAGCTTCAGTCGTATCCTTCTGCTTGGCACCGGGATGGGGTGGTGAGCGCTAGGAATGGTGATGGAGGTCCCGGCTGGATCCCCTGAAACTGGACCTTCCTGGGGAATGGGATCTGACTCTGTAGCTTCCCTTCCTCATTTTGCAAACCAGGACACCCTGTCATCAGCTCCCTGGACACTGTCCTTTTGATGATTCCTGTGACTTCTTTGATTTTGACCTTGAGCCATCTGCATTTTGGGGGAAAACAGTAACCCTCCCCTTGAAAGCAGCAAAACTTTCCCTCATTTTGCTAGTTGAACTGGTTCCCAGGTGCCCAGCAGCCCTGTCTCTAGAAGCCTGCTTTCTCACTTTTGGTTCTTCAAGTGAAAAGGTGTTTCCCTGTCTTCATCCAAGCTCCCATCCGTGCTTAGCCAACAATGGGGCCCAAGACAGTGAAAGCTGAGTAACCAAAGGGGAGCGGGGAGAATGTCACTCTCTGTCCCTAGAGGTGGGGGAAGACTAAGGAGGTTAGGGTCGGCGGATCCCAGGAGTGAGACCTGAAAGGGGCAGTGTTAGGCAGTTTGGGGACAGAGGGACGGTACAAGCCTCTTGAGGCTGGTGGGCTGGCAGGACAGCACAGGCAGCCTGGACGAGCTGTGACAGTTCCTGTTCCTCTCTGGGGGAGTTTTCCTGAACAGGCTGGCAGGCTGGGAGCTGCTGCATCAACAGCCAACCTCCTGGATGACGTGGAAGGCCACGCTTATGGTGAGGCAGGGCTAGGAGCCTTCAGCTCTGACTTACATGTGATGGGTGACCCTTTGAGAAGAGGTCCTTAGTGTTTAATGTTCAGCAAGGGGACACTCAGTCTGGGAGACATGTCAAGGGTTGGCAGGCAGGTAACCCACAGAAATGTGAACCTTTGCTGTGTGGTGCACACAATGTCCCTCCCTTCCTGTAGTCTCTGAAGGGATGCCCAGTGAGCCAGGCGCTGTTCCTAGGGAATGTTCTTTAGGGAATGGGGCACAAAGAGGCAAGCCTCATACACGGACAACCACAAGTTAGAAAATTCCAGTCTAGCCAGGTGGCGATGGCTCACACCTTTAGTCTCTGCACTCAAGAGGCAGAAGCAGACAGATCTCTGACAGTTCAGTGCCTACCTGGTCTACAGAGTGTGTTCCAGGACAGCCAGGGCTACACAGAGAAACTCTATCTCTGTGTAAAAAAAAAGAAAAGAAAAGAAAAAGAAAGAAAGGAAGAAAGCTTTAGTCTGAGGGCCTTGAACCTTTTACTCAGTCCCTCCCAAAGGCCACAGGGGTCAAAAGATCTCGCTAGGCCACCCATGGATGAACTCCCATCACCTCGCTCTTAAAGAGTCAGGAGATAGCACACACCCTTAATCCCAGCACTCGGGAGGCAGAGGCAGGTGAATCTCTGAGTTTGAGGCCAGCCTAGTCTCTAGAGTGAGTGCCTACATAGGGAAATCCTGTCTAGAAGAAAAAAAAAAAGGAGGGTCAGGAGACACCAGATACAAGGACTAGAAGGTCTTAGAGGTCATCTGAATGGTCCATCATCCCTATCCCATTTGATAGATGGGAAAACTGAGACCTAAGCAGGGTAAGACCTGTCCAAGGCCTCAGGCTGAGTTCAGTGGTAGAGTCAAGTCAGCACCTTTTGCCTCTCTCACCGCACCTACATACTGCTACCTGAGCATCAGGATCCACGCTAAGGATCAGTCTGGGGACAGGCCCAGGTGAGGTTCTGCAGGGTGGAAGATGAGGCAGCTTCCCTTTGCCTTTTAGATGAAGACTTCCGGGGAAGGCGGCAGGAGGTACCTAAGGTGGAAGAGGCCCTAAGAGAAGGACAGTAAGAGGTAAGACTTGGGGCACAGCTCTCAGGGGCAGCTTGGGCGAAGGGGCAGCTTGGCGAACCCACCATGTGTCCTCCCAAGGATCCATACATATTTTTTGTAACCCTGCTACCCTTGAATGCATTGGCTGTGTAGATGAGGCTGACTTTGAACTTCAGATCCTTCTGTCTCCACTTCCCAATGCCAGGAGTACGGACTTGCTGTATCACACCTGGCTTTTGTGCTTTTAAAAACTTGCTTATTTATTCATTTGACAAACAATAATCACACCCGCCTGAATCATCATCATCATCATCATCATCATCACAGATGCCCTGAACAGGAAAACCAAATCAGCTTTGACCTTGAATAGTTTTCAGCCCTGTTGAGAGGACGTTCTGGGACCCACAGTGAATATTTTTTTTAAATATTTATTTATTTATTATGTATACAATATTCTGTCTGTGTGTGTCTGCATACCAGAAGAGGGCAGCAGCTCTCGTTACAGATGGTTGTGAGCCACCATGTGGTTGCCGGGAATTGAACTCATGACCTTTGGAAGAGCAGGCAATGCTCTTAACCACTGAGCCATCTCTCCAGCACCCACCCACAGTGAATATTAAGAGGGCGGTGTAAGAAGCATGCGGTCATGCACATGCGGACCCGTGTCCAGCGCCCTGCTCAGGTTGGATGGTCAAGGATCTGGAAATAGCCCCTGGAATGACTGCTTCTATCTGAAGCCCCAGGGCTGGCCTGCCTTTCCTCCTGTCTCCCCATATACTCTCCTGGGGTGGGGGACATACACAGAAAATGCCAGCATCTCCTGCAGAAACGAGGCATGCCTGTTCCTCTTCAGGTAGAATCCCCCAATGAAGAGCTGCCCACCAACCCACCTACTTTGTTTGCCCGGCTGCTGTACTGGGCTCAGTGCTCAGCATCTTCTAGGCTTTCCTGAGCTGTCCTCTGTCAGGTCTGGCCCCATGTCCAACCATGGAGGAACAGAAGCCCCTCTTACGATAGTTCGGGCAGTGAGCCAAGCCAGGCCACAGAGGGCAGGGGCAGCAAGATGCAGGCACCGCACTCTTCCTCTCGGCATCCTCTATTCAGCTTTCTCCATGCTTCCCCGGGCTTTCCTCACCCACACACCTATACCCTAGCTTCCTACTTCTCTGGGATAACCAAGTAAGAGGAGCTAAGGAAACATCCCCACTCTCACCCCTTCCTGCATCCCACTGGTCCCCAGGAGAAAGGTGCACTACTCAAAGCCATTCCAGCTCAGAACTTTCTCATCATTTTTGCATCTCCAAGCATTTTCCCTCTCAGCTCTGTTGAAATAGGAGCGGCGGGGCTGCGTCCCCAACACCCCGGCCGCTTGGCTAGCTCATGCCCAAAATAACAGCACACAAACTGTATTCATTTAAGAACTGCTTGGCCCATGAACTCTAACCCTTACAGGCTAATTCTCGCACCTGGACTAGCCCATTTCTAATATTGCATGTAAGCACCCCAAGGTGCGCTTACCGGGAAGATTCTAGCCTCCGTCCATCACCATCATGGTGTCTCTGCTCCAGAGAGCAGAGTTGTCGGGTCTCTCCGGGAGCAGAGCAGAGTCTGACCTCACTTCCTCTTCCGCCCAGCATCCTATTCTGTTTTCTCCTCCCATCTATGCTTTAACCTATGAGGGCCAGCCAAGCAGTTTCTTTATTGCTCAGCCAATGAAATCAACAGATTGATATGACACTCCCACATCACAGCACCCCACTGTAAAACCCGAGATCCTGCATCCAAGTCTGAGTGGCAGCCTCCAGAAAGGGACCTAACCGAGGAGGTCACCGGCCACATGCAATGCCCAGGTTTGGGCTGAAACTCTTCCTGGCTTGCCTGTGACTCCAAGAGTCCTGGTTCTTTTTCCTCCCTCCTAGGAGGCTGTCACTTGTACCTCTCCCTCTGCCTGTTCATTGCTCTGCCCCCAACACTTTTCAGTCTTCCCCCTTCCTGTTCTAAACGCACAACTGTCCTCTTCCACAGTAACTGCTCTACCAGCTCTGCTGGGTCCCTGCTGCATCCTGTGGTCTTTGCAGCGCATCCCGTCAGTTCACTGCAAGCCATTCTCACCTCCCTGCCTTCTCCTGCCTTCTAGCTTTTCCCATCACAGTCTTGACAGATTTATCACGCGTGTCTTCCTTGCCCTACCGGCTAAGCCCGTCACTGCACATCACTGTGGTCCCACTTCTCCCGTGCTTTTCTCATGGGTCTTCTGAGCAAAACTCTTAGGAACTCAGCCTGGTGAGGGAGGCCCACCAAATTCTAGCGTGGGATTACTTTCTGCCCGTTAGGTCCTCTTCCTTAGTGTAGCACACACACACACACACACACACACACACACACACACACACACACACACCACTAACGAGATCTGCTATTGAGCAGTGTGGGTGTGGTCCTAAGCAGAGTTCCAGGATGATCGAGAATCACTGGAGAAAGGAGGAGGTGCCTCATATTCTCCAGGAACCAGTGGCAGGGAAAGACCAGAGAGCTCCTTTAATGAAAACGTCACCCGATTTCCCTACTCCCCAGGTGCCAGCAGCGTCGCCTTGCCAGAGATGCTCTGACCAGGTGGAGGTAACCGGGGGAAACAGCAGTGCCCTCCAGCTGCAGCCGAGACAGATGGTGCTTGCGTACCAGCGCCCAGGCTCCTTCGGCCACAGTCCAGCCCAGACACTGCCACTTTCCATGGGACTTAGAACTTTCAGAGTTGCTTGTGATTGGAGGAGGGACCTGGAGCCTTAGAGACAGCAGCTAGCCACAACCTGGTTTGTAGTCTGGCTCCTCTGTCGAGGACGAGCAGAAATTCAGGAACCACCACTCACATTAAAAAAAAGAAGAAGAAGAAGAAAAAGGAAAAAAGGGAAAGAAAGAAAGGTCCCAGGAAGCGTCAAGGTTGCAGTTGAGGAACTGGCAAAATGATCGATCCGGAGGCCCTTTGGGCCTGAAAAGAGGGCTTTCCTGCTTCTCTTTCCCATCACTCCTGGCGTGCCACAACGGGTCTGATCTATCCCCACATCCCACCCCCGCCTTTCTTTCTAAAGGTCTCCGACATCTCAGCCTTGGATGGAACTGCTAACTCTTGGCCCGGACCTGCACAGAACTCTGGACGCTGTGGCCTTGCTGGGGTCTAGCTTACAGGGCTGCTTCTTATTAAGGGCTGGCTGTCACCTCCAGCAGCCTCCTCTTGACCCAGCAGGGATGGGGAGGGTGACCCCGGAGCTGGAGGACTCTCTCTAAGCTTGGTCTTTCGCTTGGCTGAAGACCAAAGCTGGTTCTTGATTTACATCACAGTGGGGCTCCTCAGGGGCTGGACTGGTCCTGCTGTTTTGTAAGGCAGGGAGGTGCTGGAGGGAGGGTGACCCCAACTGAGAAGGTGTGTGTAGGCTGAAGTTGCAGAGGCTACCAGCCTGGGGCAGGGGTGGGGGTGGGGAAGCACCTAGGACAGGAACTAGCTGGGTACCTCGGGTGGAGAACCAGAGCTCACCCGAAGAACACTGGTGATTCTAGGAACTCTCAGCCGGCACCAACCACTGCTAAGGGGGTGGAGGCCGTAATTGTGTACCACTCGTTCTATGATCTGGGAACTCGCTGACCTTTAGAGAAAGTTGGGAAGTCCGGGGAGGCGCGGGGACCTGGTTGAGAATGGGATCCGATGCTTGGGTGGCGGGGGCTGCTAGGGACTGGTAGGAAATGGAACCTGCTACCAGTCGAGCTTCCCCGGGCTCGGGAGAGCGGTGCACACAGAGTGACCAAGTTTGGAAACGTATGCCGGACAGGGTGGGGGTGGGAGACCGCGCTGGCACAGAGTCAGTCCTGTGACCCCTGAAGAGAAGGACGCTTTCCCGCCCACCATGAGCCCCGGGCGGCTAGACTGTGCTCCAGACGCGTCCGGGCCTTCCCTGCTCCAGCGCCAGGCGCGCGCACGAAGAGAAAGCTGTAGGTCTGTGTGTCACTTTGTTATTTTTTTCCCTCTTGTGTGTGGTTTTTTTTTTTTTTCTTGGAGCCGTTTCATAGGGATTCCGGTAATAAAGACTTGGTGTTCTCTTGGTGCTCTGATGTGGCCGGCGATGTGGGCTGGACCCTCCCTCCTTTTCCCTCCTCAGGGGATAGGTTTTGGCCTCTGGAGAAGTGCCAAATCCTTGGGCCACCTGCGTTCACGGTCCCCACACACGCTACCAACCTCCACTTCCCCCATCCCCCTCCCGGTTAACCCTCGGTTGTTTCTAGGGTACATAGGACTCAGGCTTCCCGCAAACCGCCTCAGGAGGTGACATCTGCTGCCTGTGCGACCTGCCGGCTTTGCCTAGCGCTGCTCCTTTCTTCCTCTTTGCCACACAAATAAACGCTTGCTGATAGGCAACAGAACAGCGTTGAGAAACCCGGCCTGTTGCAAAAGCGTCACACCGTGCCTCCCTGCATTAAAAGCTTCTGGATTAACGACGTCGTCCGACCGACTGGAGGTTCCAAGATGTACACCCTAGAGGCTTGCATCTCCCACCTGAGAGGGACCACGACCGTCTTCCTCTAGAAGTATCTCAACTTCCTGTGCCCCCAACTCAGCGGGACTCCCTTTCACCTCTACACAGGCAGGGACAGGACTCTGGCTTCTGAAAGAGGAAATGATGCCTGCCGTCTTCAGAGCAGGCAATTCTTAAGGTTCAAAATTCTACCTTGTGTGGAGCCAAAGGCTTCCTTGTGGAATTTAACAGCTCGTCTTTCTTGTTTTGAGCTCAGGTTCATCCTGCCAAGGGTGTCCCTCTTTCCCTCAATTTCACTTTTTCACACTAGAGTAAAAAACAACAGTCCCCCATGCCCTTCCACAAGGGCCTGTCTTGACGGAGCAGATACAGGTAGTTTGGTATGGTGGCATCCCTGAGACCTTGACATGCTGTACTAGGGAAACTAAAATTCTCTTCCAGCCTCAGGCCAGTTATTCAGCAATATCTTAGCGCTGTGCCTTACTGAAGGGAAGCTGTAGAGGGCTGCGAGCTTAACAGAAATGCTTGTTCTCACGGAGTGGCTAAGCTCACACTGGCCCTGAAAGGAAGCAAGTTCAAGACCCAGCCCCTACACCAGGCAACTCCCAACTGCCTGTAATAGCGGATCTGAAGCTCACTTCTGACATCTCTATACATATGTGCATATTTTTAAATTAAAACTTTAAAAATGAAATGCCCTATTCCAGATTTTCTGCATCAGAAATTAAGGATGTAACCAAACGACTGTGATTTCTATACACACTAGAGTTTGGGAGCCATGGTGTTAGGCTACTACTTCCCAAATGCTTTTTCAAAATTCCTGTGCTCCAGACTAATTAAATCAACAACTTTGAGTTGTTCAAAGTGCCCAGGGAGGTTCAGTTTGCAATCAAGTCAGATCTGGGGCTCCAGGCTGTCAGTCAGGTGTTTTCAAGGGTGGAGTTGATCTTGCCCAATAACCACTCTACAGGTAAAAAAATAAATAAATAAATAAATAAATTAAGTGATCTACCACAGATCAATCACAGAACTGATTAGCTTCAGCCTCAGACTGCAACTATCTCTGCCAAACTTCAGACTTCACTGAGCTCCTGTCTCCTTCTGCCTTATACTCCTCTCTCCATCTCCACAGTGCTAGGATTAAAGGCATGGGATCCCAGCACTTAGGAGCTCCGTTTCTCTTTTAGACAGGTTCAATCTTTTTTTTTTCTTGGTTTTTCGAGACAGGGTTTCTCTGTGGTTTTGGAGCCTGTCCTGGAACTAGCTCTTGTAGATCAGGCTGGCCTCGAACTCCCAGAGATCCACCTGCCTCTGCCTCCAAGGTGCTGGGATTAAAGGCGTGCACCACCACCGCCCAGCAGACTTGTTCAACCTTGTGAAGCCCAGAGTGGCCTTGAACTATCAGAGAACCCTCTGCTTCTGCCTCTGCCTCTGCTTCCAGAATTCTGGGATTAAAGGTGTGCGCCACCACTCCTGGCCACTCATGGCTTAGCTCTGCACTCCGATCTTCAGGCAAGCTTTATTTGTTAAAACAGAAACAAAATATCACTACAGAGGACAGGTGATAAAATCCAGTCTCCCCACGTGGATACAACATTGTGACGAACAGGAAGGGCCTACCTGCTCAGCAACACCTCCCAGGGATAGCTGGGATCCAGCAACTAGTCCGGAACTCCCCCATTAACATTCTTTAAATTTGTATTTATTTCGCCTTTTAGTTATTTAGTTATTTGGCTTTTCGAGCCAGGGTTTCTCTGAATAGCTTTGGAGCCTGTCCTGGCACTCACTATGTAGACCAGCCTGGCCTCAAACTCAGAGATCCACCTGCCTCTGCCTCTGGAGTACTGGGATTAAAGGTGTAAACCACCACCACCCACACCATTAACATTCTTTATCTAGATTTAAAAACAGTCTCCTAGCATCTGCAGCCTGCTACCGAGAGAGAAGCTCACAGAGTCCTATGCCCCTTAGCACAGCACAGATTTATGTGTTGGGTTGGTCTGGGCCAGCTAGGGGAAAACTGTAACTTTCTGGAGATGTGGGTGGATGAAAAGGGTCGGTGTAGACCTACTGCCACCAGGCGGTCATTCTGCAGAAGTGACAGTCACTGACCACAGACAGATGAACTATCATTTTGGTAGGAGACCAAGAGTGCACCTTAGGCTTCAAGCTATATATACCACCAGGAGTTTGTTCTTACTGCCCCATTTGGGAAAATTTGCAAAACAAAGATTTTTCTTAGTATTTAAAATGTCACTAAATCTATATAAGCTTCGGGACCCATAAAACAAGCCCTACTCTGGCTGGGTGTGGTGGCTCATACCTTTAATCCCAGCAGAGGCAGAGGAATCTCTGTGAGTTCGAGGCCAGCCTGGTCTCTAGGAAGGCCAAGGCTTCACAGAGAAATCCTGTCTCAAAAGCAACAACAACAACAACAACAAACCCAAAAAACAAAAAGCAAAGCAAAATAAACAAAACCCAAGCCCTACTTCACCTGGTAGTGGGGCACGGCTGCCTTACAGGTGTCACTTCTGGATTAGTTTTTGTTTGATTTTGTTTGAGAGGATCTTACTATGTAGCTCTGGCTGACCTCGAACTCTGTAAACCAGGTTGGCCTCAAACTCACAGAGATCTGCCTGCCTCAGCCTCCCAAATGTTTGGTCTAAAGGCATGCCCTACCACACCTAACAGGTGTCATTTCTAGAAAACAAAGAGTCACTATTCTTTTTATTTAAAAATTCTGTTTATTTATCTTACTGTATGGCTGGGGATGAAACTCGGGGTCTCACATATACTAGGCAAGTGCTTTGCCACTGTACTAGATCCCAGCTCTCAGGATCACTGATTAAAGAAAAAAGATCATGTCAAGAGGATTGGTCCACGGACTCCGGTGTGAGCGGTTGTGAAACTCAACATGAACAGTGCACGAGCCTGCTTTCTCTTTCAAAGTGTGGCCTGGATGCAAAACTCTGAAAGCTAGAACTAAGAACGTTCATGCAAACTTTCATTGAAAACTTGAGAAAGCTGTTTACCCTATTTGCAGACTTGTTAGAAATGCAGCTCAGGGCCCCACTCCAGACCAACCTAATCAAAACCTGCCTTTCTCAAAGTCGCTAGGAGCTTTACCCCCAGATTCACAAGCCCTGACATACCTCATCCTCGGTTAGCTGGTGAGCCAGGAATCCCGTTAGAATGAGTCTAATCAGCAAACACTCCAGCAGGCAGCTGCTCACTCCTGTGCCCTTGGCTGTGGAAAAGAGCCAAAGTCACGCAGACCTCCAGGGCAGTTATGGGCACAAAGTGTTGGTCTCTCCTTTGTGCTGGAGCCTCCTCCAGGGCAGCCACCTGTTAGTGGGAGGAAGCTGGGCAGCTTGTGATGCTGTCTTGTGAATTGTGAGGTGTGATTTAACTGCGGAACGCTCTGCTCCTAAGTGTGGAGTCCTCAGAAATCTTTGTCTGCTGCACAACCGCTGTGCAGTGCTAACACACTAACCAGCTCTTCACAAGGCTGCTTATGCCCCACCCCCACCCGAGACAGGATCTCACTGTGTAGCCCGGACTAGCCTGAACTTGAGATCCTCTTGCCTCCACCTCCCAAGTGCTGAGATTCCGCGTGTGAGCCACCACTCCCAGAAAAGGCTTTCTGTTGAGTCTTATGGCTGGTTCCATTTTGCAGGAGACAGTTGAAGCCCCAGAAGATTATAAAGAAGTCTCATTGAGGCAATGGACAGCCAGAGGTAGAATGGACAAGACACACTCCATGCATGATGGGGTAGGAGAATATTTCCACACAGTGTGTCCTAGAAAGGCCTCAAAGGGAAGCTGGACTCAGGTGGTATGGTCAGATGTGTGCAGGCAGTTACAAGTGGCCCATGGTCACTATAACCGTCTTTGTCCTAACTTGACATTATTCATCCATGCTCTTAGCTAGACAACTCGCTAAGAACCAGTGGTACCAGGTGGGTGTGGGCAGAGACAGGCCCAGTTCCTGCCCTGAAAGAAGCCCAGTGAGATCGACTCAGACAAGTAAACAGAGTTGGGAGGATAAGTCTAGGTTGGGACATGCACTCCATGTGTACCGTGGGGGCTGAAGGTATGGGTGTCCTGAGGCGCATGCTCAGCTAGACAGGAAGGCAGAACCTGATATCCTGGAGAAGAGAAAAGTACCGCATCCTCCCTTCCCTGCCTTGCACCCTCCTTGCCCTGGACCCATTCAGTAGGGTGTGTGTGTGTGTGTGTGTGTGTGTGTGTGTGTGTGTACACGCGCGTGTATGTCTTTATGGCAAGGTCTCTTTATGTAGCCTAAGCTGGCCTGGAACACACTATGTAGACCAACTGTGCAACCCTACAATTTTGTTGTTGTTGTTGTTGTTCATTTTTATTTATTTATTCATTTATTTATTTATTTATTATGTATACAATGTTCTGTCTGTGTGTATGCCTGCAGGCCAGAAGAGGGCACCAGATCTCATTTCAGGTGGTTGTGAGCCACCATGTGGTTGCTGGGAATTGAACTCAGGACCTTTGGAAGAGCAGGCAATGCTCTTAACCGCTGAGCCATCTCTCCAGCC